TTTTATTGAGCTAGTATCGGGAAAAATTCATTGTGGAGTCTTAAAGCACTTATGTAAGTCGCTCTGGCTAAGGGCGTCTGCCAAATGATGTAAATGTAAATGTAAATCGGACCCCTGGAACCATGTGTGTATGCGGCTTGGGGTGTGTCCGTCTACTCCTGTCTGTGCTCCCTGTTTGAGGAGTTTCATTAATTAAGGCCATCTTGAAAACTTTAAGTCAGCTGTGACACATTTTTATTGCCCTATGTATTTTGCCCAAGCAATAAAAAATCTGTTCAAATATCTGTAACTGTTTGTTTTAATGTTCTAATCAGTCAAGGACCAAACATCAGGTCAAAACAATTTGATACATTACCTTTAAATGTAATTCAACAGTTATATTACCTAGGACTGGATGCTAGTTTAGTTTGTGAAGTTTATGGCGCTGAAAGGATTGGGATAAATGTGCTTTTTTTTATTTTTTATTTTTTTTATCAGGCTTTATTGTTCACGGAGATATAATTTGTAGTACCTCACTATGTCCGCAAGATTCAATACTAGATAATTTTTCTGAGAAGTCCTGCTGTTTTACCCAAAAAAAACAATTATATGACTGCTTGAGAATCTTATTTGGATCATTGCCTTCACAAGATCCCGGGAGTCTGTGATGTGTGGTTTACTACAGAAGTCCAGGAACAGCCCCTTTCAAACATGTTGTGACGAAAGCCATCCACAGACTGGACCACTTGCGAAATATGGGAATTGAATGTCTTTTTATTACAGGAAGGAACTATAAAACCTCAAATGGGACAGATAAAGAGTAATGTGAGACAAACTGAATGGAGTTCCGATGAAAGTTCTTAGAAGACGCTCAAAATTTGTCAAAGACTATTGGATCATGTTAATTGTAATGAACATGAAGTTATTCTTTTTCTTGGAGAAACATCACATAATTTTTTGCTTTCCTCATGATTTCTGAAACCACGTACGGAGAACTTTCTGGAGAAATCTCAGCAGCTTTATAACTGGTAATGTACTGATCTTATTGGTTTTTTTGTAATAAATTCTATGCTGTAAATATTCTTGAACGTAAACAAATGCATACTTAATACACATAATGCATAAATTTGAATATTGTTTGTCTTATTTTTCCCCACAATCAGGTTAAGTGTCAGGCAAACCTGTAAAAGTCATTGGTAATATTAGCATCGACGGGTAAAGACACACGTTGTCCTGTGAGTGCAGGACGAAGCAGGGGTGAGACATGAGGGGGCGCCGGCTGAGGAACTTCTGGATATTCAGCCTGCTGGTATTGGTTTCGGCTGCTGGATGGTTCGCCTTGTACTCCCTGGCTTGTTACAGGTAAGCCCGCCGAGCACAGGGTCATGCCATTTATGCAGCCCCCCACAGCATTTGTGCTCCTTTGTACTAGAGACCTGCGCGGGACGGATTTTTCAGTCCCGCTCCCGCAAGATTCTGTCCCGCTCCCGCAAAAAATATATATTATTTTCTCCCGCTCTCGCCCGCAAAATCCCGCAGGTAAACAAACATATTAGTAGTTTTATTTTTACCGCTTTTTCCTGCTACTGTTATTTGTTTCACTTGCTTCCATTTTGAGTGTATATATAAAAAAAAACGGAAAATAAACAAATGTTTCGTTTTATTTGAGTTTAATTAAATGGAATGATGAACATGGACACGAGCGAGGAGCTTTTCAGAACATGCCATCCCGTCCAAGCACCAGGCTGATGCCTTCTTGGGGTGTCCGGTTACGTCCCCCGGCACTCAGAGCGCGGCAATTGTAGTTTCTGTAGACGACTCGCCTGTAAATTGTTATTATTCTAATTTAGTCGTTCTTGTTGCTTTTGTGCAGTAGATAAATAATAAAGTATTTGTTTTTAATAAATTAATTTTAAGATAATTCAATTTTGCGGGAGTCCCGCGATTAATTCTATTCTCCCGCACATACATGATCGAGGACCTTACCGCCCGCACCCGCATCCACCCATCAAATCTTGTCCCGCGCCGCACTCGATGCGTTGGGTCCCGCGGGTCCCAACCTCTCGTGTCCAATAAAGAAGTAATACTTAGATACTCAATTACGTTTTATCAGAATTTAGTAGAAGTCCTTAAATTTCACAGGACACAGAAACACATTCCTACCTAAGTAAAGATTTATAAACACTAAAATAAACCAAACCTCAACCCCTAGCCCAGCTCCCCCACCCTACGGGCACCATGTTTATGTTTTCTTTTTTATTGAAAGTGAGAAATATTGATGAAACCGTTCCAGATAGCTGGACGGGTAATTCAAGTCATATGCACAATGAAAATGTATCACTGGTGAGCTCAATCTCACGGCAACGAAAATCTGGTTCTTTTTTTTTTCCAAAGAGATTTAAATTTTTCACAAGGGTGCCAATAATTGTATCATAAAGATGTTCCAATGTTCATACTTTTCCCTCCCATTCTGATTTTTAGCTGTTCTATTTCAAACATATGAATGTTTCCAGGAGATATTGTACGTGACTTTGTACGTAAAATTCAGGCATGCTGATAATGTTGACGGGAACTGTATGTATAGCATAGAATATGCTTATTTTATACCACAAAGTCCATATACATACATACATACAACACAGGAAGTGAAAGTAGAAAAGTGGAAAACAAACCATATATAAATAATATAGCATATGGATATGGAGTTTCTAAAAATTTATTTCAATATTTAATGTTTTGCGTTGATACTGGGCAGATTTATTATTTATTATTATTATAATATTTATCTATCACACAAGATCAGTAAGACATATGAAAGTCATATTCCTTGAACAACATAGTGTGGCGTACAGGGGCGTCAGAAGCATTTTGAATGTGGGGAGGGACACATTGGCATAAAACCAATATTTTATGTTAAATGGGGGGGGGTCCAAACGAATAATTATGAAATGAAATGTGATTTAATGGCGGCGACGCCCATGGTGGTGTATGATGTGAGGGGATTGGGTAAGCCTGACCCAGCTCCCTTCCCATCATTCCCTGCAGTGACCACCCACCAGATAAGTGCCCACCCATGACCTGACTGTAAGGTGTAAGGGACTCAGTCTGTGACTTAGCAAGCAGAATAAAAAAAAAAAAAAAGCAAAACATTTTTTCTGGTCTTACCACATATTTACCTCTGTTTGTTCTACCACCTGTCTTTTGCAGTCACCAGTGATGCTACATCACCTCAATACAACATCTCCATAAGAAGATATTTATTACCGTACTAAAAAAAATACTGTAAGGATTTTGAAATACAGGGATATACGATAAGTGTCAAACTGCCTAAGTGTATTCCAGACCTTCTTACATTGAATAACAGCTAGAAACGGCGAAAAATATTTCGATCACATATTTCATGTAGGTTTTTCTGCAAGTGTCATGACCTTTGACCCATGCCTCTCCAATAATTCCAGAACTGAAGGAAATTCCCAGTCACCTTTGAAGAAAACTGCCCCTGTTCAGACACCTCAATACTGCAGGTGTGAACCGTTGTGATGGAACTGGAGCTCAGCAGAGTGTTGTTGGGTATTATGGATGGCCTAAGGCGGACATTTCAGGTCCAGAAAGTAAAAATCCAAATGAAGATTTTGTTTCAACCTACCAGTTGAGTACTCTGACTGTGACTCTTTATACTCAACTGGTTGTTTGAAACAAAATCCTCATTTGGATTTTTACTTTCTGAAATGGCCGCGTCCGTGGATGTCTGGGTTCTTTTAGTGGGGATGATAATCGAGGTTCCTTAAAGGGCTGCTTTTGAAGTGTAAGGTTTTTCTTTAGTGTCGATACTCATCAGTTATGGTTGTGGGTGTGAACGCTTTTACTGGGCAACTCTGCTTCAAGGTCCAACTGAGCTTGTACCAGCAACATTTATGGGGAAAAAATAACCTGACACTGTTATGCAAATCAACTTGGCGTAGAGGGAAGTGTTACAAGTCATGTGTGCTTCTTGGGACTTGAACACACAACCTTTGTTGTTCACACCATGTTCTACTTGTCAAGCTATAGTATAACAATAGTGAACTTAGTATTGACAGACTGTCCGTGTTCAGGGGCTGCGCCCTTCTAAGGTTGCAATGGAAGACTGGATGTGTCACAGAGGCCCAACAAGGCTGTACCATTTTGAATGCTTCCTCAAATGCGGTCTAGAAATGTCCTCTTTCTGCCAAGTTGCGAAGGATCCATCAAAACATATGCCATGATTCATTGCGCAGTGGTAAAATGGGTGTGTTCTGGCTAGGCGATAGGAGCGTGTTTTGTGACTCAAGGGTTCGGGCGGGAGCAGCTGGTGACAGCCAGACCGTCCCATTTGGGAACGCTTTCCCTTCGACCTTCAAGGAACGCAGCCTCCAAGGGCTATGCCTTCGAAGACCTCTCCCTTCGAAGGATGCAGCCCCTGAATTCAGACACAGCAAAGGATATGCAAACATTAGGAAAAAGACTGTCACATATTAGCAAAATCATTGATAACAAATTCATTGTAAGGAAGGTAATGGTACAGCTTGTTTCTGAAATACTATAAGGCTGCGGTTAATCCCAACTTGTTGGTACCTCTCTGCTATGTCTGTTACTATACTAACCTCATACCTGATCCTGTATTAAAATTAAATGTTATCATTACAGGGAGAAAACAGTTGGAAATATTTTGAAGGTTTATTCTCAGGACTGGATAAAGCAGAAAGGTTACATCACCCTACTGAGGTAAGGAGAGACTTAGCTGTGAGAATAAGAATCCTGAGTGTAATTTACTGCGAAGTATCTGCGGTTTATTTCCACTTGGTTCAAAAACCCTTTAACCAGAAGTAACATTTTGTCCCCACAATGTAATATAAACACACACACACACAATAAATAAATAGACAATAGACAATAATACAACATAAAACCCCTCTGGGTTAAAAAAATAAAAAGCCAATAGACCAGTAGCTACAATACAAAAAAAAAAATCACAATGTGTTATAAAAGGCCAGCGGCAGCATTTGAATCTGTTTGTTCTGTACATAGACAAACTGCATCTATGGCCAGAAAGAAAGAACTTAAACTCCTTAAACAGGGAGTGGCCAGGATCAGCTCAGATTGATTGGGCCTTCTTCAAAGTCCTCACCTTGAACAGATACATTAAGTCATTCAAGATCATACCTGCTACTTTGCTGCACACTTTGACAATACCCTGCAACCTAATTTTTACTTCTGAGGTTAAGTAACCGGCACCAACCAATAAAGTACAATGTAAGGACAGACTCAATAAAACAAAAATAAAACATTTTCATGAAGGTATTCTCAACATTAAAAGTTCGAAGCTTACGATAAAAACACGTGCTGAAGGCCCTTTCTACGGAAGTCTGTAGAGGACATGCATAGACTTTTTTTTTCTCTTTTCGTTATTTAGAAAAAAATAAGTTGTGATCTCGAGATAACGACTTTGGTTATGTCGTGATCTCGAGATCACAACTTATTTTTTTCTTATTTTTTTTAAACGACATCTTTCAAACATCACCCGGTAACCATGGAGACGTCCCGGACTCTCCAGTTGGTTGGTAATGAAACTGACTACTCACTATAATTTCTCCGACGGTATTGCTGCAAATTTCGGAGCCTCCTTCTCAAATGACGAACTAATATGACAATTTTCTAGCACCAACAGACTGTTATTTCCTCGTATCCATGATTCAGTGCAATATACACTACCCGGCCAAAAAAAAAGTCATCATTTGAATTTACATCAGCAAATACTGAAGAGCCAATGACTGGATCATTATTACAGTTCAGCAACGTCATGTAGCAATAAAGTAAAGTCAGCTGAGTACATGAATCTACTGAATGGCCAGGTTACACCTCCATCCATCATCAATGGATTGTTTTCTTCCCTGTTGGAATGGGCATATTCCAGGACAAGAATGCCAAGATTCAATGGGTTCGAATTGTCAAAGAGTGGTTCAGGGAGCATGAGGAATCATTTTCATGCATGACTTGGTCACCACAGAGTTGTGACCTTAACCTCATTGAAGGTCTTTGGGATGTGCTGAAGGAGGCTTTACGGAGGTTCAACTCACTTGTCAATACAGGATCTCGGTGAGAAATTAATGCAAATCTGGATGAAAATAAAGGGTGAGATGTTGCATAAGCCTGTGGAAACAATGCCATGACAAATGTGCATCATAATCAAAGCTAAAGGCGTCCAATGAAAAATTCAAATGGAGACTTTTTTTTTGGCGGGACAGCGTATCTCAACTTTTTCCCACAGTTTGAAGTCTAACTTCGTTTTACAAACAAGTGCAATATACTTTTACTTTTCCTGTAATTTTTGGACAAAGGTACTTTAGATTCCTGTAGAGAGATCTTATTTTATTTTATTTATTAGAATGTTTAACGGTGCCGTAATTTGTTTTACACTTCATTCCTATTTTTATACTTATATTGTATTGTTCTTGTCTTCGTGATTATATGTGATTGTGCAGTCGCAATGTGAGCAATTTCCTCCGGGATTAATAATGTCTTCTGATTATGATTGTGATTGTGATTGGGACAGTCCACGATCAAAGTAAAATCTGATGCATTTGTCCATGAGGATAATACTGAACCTCGAGATCATGGGAAAGTGACATGGGTTATGTCGAGATCACGAGATAATGAAAGGAAGAAAAAAAAGTCTATGCATGTCCTCTACAGACTTCCGTACCTTTCTACGCACAGCATCTACCTGAAGCTCAAAGGCCAGCTTGTCGTCGATTTCAGTGCCAAGATATTTATAATGCCACAGAAGCTCAACAGATTTTCCCAAAATCTGTTTTCATACCAGTAATATGTTCAGGTCTTGTCCTTTATGGAGGTCATCCTATAATACACATGATGAAGGGATGATTACAGCATAAATAAACAGTTTGCTGACAAAATTAAACAAGATCCTTCATGCAAGTAAGAGGGGATGCAAGATTTTCAGGTCACATGACGAGATCTGCAAACTAAAAAATAACCAGCGTTACTAATGAAAATTTCAGTCATTTGAACTTATGGCTTACGTTTACGAAGGATTGTGCCTACATTGGCACGCCCCCGAAGTCAGCATTTAGAGAGTTTGTGGGCATGACTGTAACAGTACAATAAGGTTTGGAAAGCTCTCAGCAATGACACAAAACTGGGGATTTCTGTCATAGGTCTGAACTGAACAGCAAGTGCAATGGAGTCGACAAGGCCATTGTCACACAGACCAACACGGCAATGGGGTCGAACATCACATATGATGCTGAGAAAAGAATTGTCAAGGTGACCCCTAAGCTGTTTGACACCTTCGTGAAGGTACGACTTGGCACTGGAAAAAACCCATAAACCGTTAGTTTTGTGAGTGTATTTACAGTAAAACCGGTCTAAGTTGACACTCGCAGGACCAGCTTAAAAGTGACGACTTAGAGAATTGACGAGATAATTTGGCGACTTATGTCTATCTCGCCATTTTGTCGACTAGTAGGCTATATATAACTCGCCGTTTTGCCGACTTAAGTCGCCGAAGTGTCGATTTTATATGTCTATCTCGCCGTTTTGCCGACTAGTAAATATAACACCATACCTCTACTACACCGCACTATACACGCGAGACTTAAGACCAGGGACCGACTAATGCGATAGGTGGGGATTCCCCGTTTCTACATTGCCGTGGTGACAAGCAGGCGGCGAGAATGCAGCGATTGGGGTGTCGACTTACAGGTAGGAAAATCCATTCATTTGTGTTGTTCGGGACCGGGATTTAGGTGACGACTAAGGGAATTTGACGACTTACAAGCGGCGAGTTACACAAGGAATTGTGGTATCTTCTCAATAAGGACACCCAGGCATTCCTGTAGAATTAGTCTTCTTTACTACACACCACATGTCTTCCAACAACGCAACGTTTTTCTACCCCCGCCTGCCTAACCAAACACAGGCTAATTAACAACCCTCTATTGCCCCCTACAGGACATCTATAACCACATACTCCATCTACTACATTCCTCCCCCCTTAGGTTCTGTTGTACTCACTGAAACAAGAAAAATCAATAAAGCCATAAACAATAATAATAATAAAAATAAAAATACAAGAACACCCAGTTTAACATTTGTCACCTGATAGTACCATGACATATGTCTCACACATTTCCTTTTTTTTTTTTTTTTAGAATTAGTATACAAAATCCTTTAGATAACTTGGTTTAGACACCGTGCGTTGCGAACGTCTCACAGGTGACACATACTCCCGCAACTCCTTGGTAGCCTCCTCATCCGCCTCTGATGGTCTCACGCCTTCTTGTGTTTCACCCTCCGAAACACCTCCCTGCCGGCCTGCAACCTTCTCAGGCATTACCCAAGCCTCAGAGGGATCCATACATGCCCTCGGTGGCACCGTGGTCCCAGGACCTACTGAGTCCTCCTCCACTGATCTCACCAGAATCTGATCTACATGTCTACGTACGACATTACCATCCCCTAACATGACCTTGTATGAGACCGGTCCTGTGACTTTGACAATAAAACCAGGGATCCACTTAGACCCGTAACTAAAGTTCCTCGTGATCACCATGTCTCCCACCTGGAAACTTCGCCCCCGCACCTGTTTATCATGAAGTTCCTTCTGGGTGTCCTGCTTCCGTTCTACCCTCACCCTCAGATCTGGGTGCACCTGGTCTAAGGTTGATCGTAACCTTCTACCCAGCAGCATTTCCGCTGGAGACAACCCCGTGGTCGATTGTGGGGTAATGCGGTAGTTAAACAGCACTCTTGACACCTTAGTTGAGAGCCTCCCTTCACCCACCTTCTTCATCATTGACTTAAAAGTCTGGACTGCTCGCTCGGCGCAGCCGTTGGAAGAAGCATGGTATGGAGCCGAGGTAATATGCCTAATACTGTTTTTTTGCGTGAACTCCTTGAACTCCGCACTGACAAAACATGAGCCATTGTCTGAAACCAACATCTCAGGCAACCCTTGGCTGCAAAAGCTCTGCCTCAAGCAATCAATAGTGGTAGCTGACGTGGCAGACTTTACTGGATAAACATCCATCCATTTAGAATAGGCATCGATCAGGATCAAAAACATGTGTCCCATAAATGGTCCCGCATAGTCCATGTGCAGTCTCTGCCAAGGTTTACTCGGCCACTCCCAGGGGTGGAGTGGAGCTGGTGCTGGTACATTCCGATGTTCTTGGCATGTATGGCATCCTTTCCCTAGCGCCTCAATGTCAGAGTCTAACTTTGGCCACCAAAAATAGCTCCGCGCTAAGGCTTTCATCCGAGAAATGCCTGTGTGCCCGTAATGCAATTGCTGTAGCAATGCCTTGTGCCCCGGCTGAGGAACAATTACACGCGATCCCCACAATACACACCCATCCTGCACACTTAACTCAGTATTTCTCACCGTGTAAGGCTGAAACGCTGGGTCCACGCGTTGTGGCCAACCATGTTGGACAAACTGTCTAACCCGAGACAACACAGGGTCTTTACCAGTCCAACTTCTTACTTCGCCTGCCGACACCAAAGATATGTCCTCCATCATCAGTACTCGATCCTCTTGCTCTGCCTCCGTTGGCTGCTGAGGCAATGGGAGTCTACTCATGGCATCTGCGTTGTCATGGAATTTACCTGGCTTGTACCGGATCTCATATTCATAGGCTCGGAGTGTTAACGCCCATCGCTGAATCCGTGGAGATGCCATGTGAGGCACTGCCTTCAGCGCACTGAAGAGAGACAAGAGAGGTTTGTGATCGGTGCAAATAACAAACCGTCTTCCATACAAATATTTATGGAAGCGTTGTATCCCAAACATCACAGCCAAACCCTCTTTGTCCAGTTGTGAGTAGTTGCTCTCAGCAGGTGTCAGAGTACGAGACATGAAACT